GGAGTTAGATCGGGAAACGTGTACTTCCCACCACACTGATGTGATAACCCGCAGATCTACTGGAGTTAGATCGGGAAACGTGTACTTCCCACCACACTGATGTGATAACCTGCAGATCTACTGGAGTTAGATCGGGAAACGTGTACTTCCCACCACACTGATGTGATAACCTGCAGATCTACTGGAGTTAGATCGGGAAACGTGTACTTCCACCACACTGATGTGATAACCTGCAGATCTACTGGAGTTAGATCGGGAAACGTGTACTTCCCACCACACTGATGTGATAACCTGCAGATCTACTGGAGTTAGATCGGGAAACGTGTACTTCCCACCACACTGATGTGATAACCTGCAGATCTACTGGAGTTAGATCGGGAAACGTGTACTTCCACCACACTGATGTGATAACCTGCAGATCTACTGGAGTTAGATCGGGAAACGTGTACTTCCCACCACACTGATGTGATAACCTGCAGATCTACTGGAGTTAGATCGGGAAACGTGTACTTCCCACCACACTGATGTGATAACCTGCAGATCTACTGGAGTTAGATCGGGAAACGTGTACTTCCCACCACACTGATGTGATAACCTGCAGATCTACTGGAGTTAGATCGGGAAACGTGTACTTCCCACCACACTGATGTGATAACCTGCAGATCTACTGGAGTTAGATCGGGAAACGTGTACTTCCACCACACTGATGTGATAACCTGCAGATCTACTGGAGTTAGATCGGGAAACGTGTACTTCCCACCACACTGATGTGATAACCTGCAGATCTACTGGAGTTAGATCGGGAAACGTGTACTTCCCACCACACTGATGTGATAACCTGCAGATCTACTGGAGTTAGATCGGGAAACGTGTACTTCCCACCACACTGATGTGATAACCTGCAGATCTACTGGAGTTAGATCGGGAAACGTGTACTTCCCACCGCACTGATGTGATAACCTGCAGATCTACTGGAGTTAGATCGGGAAACGTGTACTTCCCACCACACTGATGTGATAACCTGCAGATCTACTGGAGTTAGATCGGGAAACGTGTACTTCCCACCACACTGATGTGATAACCTGCAGATCTACTGGAGTTAGATCGGGAAACGTGTACTTCCACCACACTGATGTGATAACCTGCAGATCTACTGGAGTTAGATCGGGAAACGTGTACTTCCCACCACACTGACGGGATAACCTGCAGATCTACTGGAGTTAGATCGGGAAACGTGTACTTCCCACCACACTGATGTGATAACCTGCAGATCTACTGGAGTTAGATCGGTAAACGTGTACTTCCCACCGCACTGATGTGATAACCTGCAGATCTACTGGAGTTAGATCGGGAAACGTGTACTTCCCACAACACTGATGTGATAACCTGCAGATCTACTGGAGTTAGATCGGGAAACGTGTACTTCCCACCACACTGATGTGATAACCTGAAGTGTTCAAAGTGGTTGCTTGCACTTAACTGCAGGAAAATATGAAAGACTTGTCAGATGTTTAAGTTTGTATCATATGATGTTTCCTTGACTGAGATACATGTTACGTCACACGTGACTGAAACTTTGGATTTGCTGTAGACACCCACAAGTATGATAGAACAAACCGGGAAGTGTTGATGTCATTTGGTTCATCTAATAGATAACTTGGCAAGAATGCTACTAATTTCAAAGTTGAGAATATAAAAGTTCAGACATGTGATTATTTCTGAGGGTACGTGTCTATTTGAAAAGTTGTAGATTTTGACCCAAGGAAAGCCCATGGTAACGTCACAAAGTTGAACAAATTATATGTTTCAATTACACTGGAGAACATAATAACTCAGATTAAAAGTGTTTGTGAAATGTATTTCCAGGTCGTAAACCCATTCCGTATTTTACACAGCAAGTGGCGGGGACCAAGACTACAGTTAGTCTAAAAAGTCAGGTCGTTATGAAATAATATACTGTGTACATTTCCCCACCGTCACGCCGAAGATACCCCACATGGGTACACAGTGTGGAGCCCATTTCTAGTTTTCCCCGCTCTGATATTGCTGGAATATTGCTAAAAGCTGCGTAAAAGCAAACTCACTTACTCACTCACAATGACTCAGTATGTGACAGGTTGTAGATTTTAAATCAAAGAAGGTTCATAGTGATAAACACAGTCGTTCAACACAGATAGTGTAATCTACTGCTGCGGACAATACAGTGTTATCGGTGTCGCCCCCATCTCCACCCCACCCCACCCCCTCCACACACACACACACACACACACACTCTCTCCTTTTGAGCTGACATGTGTCACGAGAAGCACATAAGGTAAGTCCTTCAGTTGTACAGACCTTTCCCGAGCATACTCAGGAATCTATTTGAAAAGTTTGAACCAAAGTAGGTTTAGGCTGATAATGTATTCATATTTGTTGAGAAAACAGCGTAGCCACTGTCGTCCACTCCTTTTCAAACCGACTCCTGCCTTTACCTTCAGTTGTACAGACGTTTCCCGAGGAATCATGAATACGTGAACAGTTGTATAAAGGCGGGTTATTCATTACAGTGAAGGTTACCCCTCACTCTGAATGTGTGTGTGTGTGTGTGTGTGTGTGTGTGTGTGTGTGTGTGTGTGTGTGTGTGTGTGTGTGTGTGTGTGTGTGTGTGTGTGTGTGTGTGTGTGTTACATGGAGTTAGATCATATAATGTGATGAAAATGAATGATGAAACTGGCTGTGGATACGCCACAAATACTCCGCTTCAACTCCCAGAGAAAACACAATAACTGAGGAATAAGAGAAAATAGTATGGATGTTAACATCTTCTTTATTGTAGACACAACCTTCGTCAGGTGAATGAGGGGGCAAAGAAATACATAATGAGATGCAGCAAAAAGATGTGTAGTGCTACTAAAACGGTGGAAAGATTTACAAATGTGTGGACAGTGAGCATAATAACGTAATCAATGCTCCTTGTTAGTACTGTCAGAACTCAATCGTGTTTGTTTTATAACAAAAAGCCATAAATCATGTACAGTAGAACACCTGTTAACCTAACAATGTTATCCCATCCTTGGGACTATAAAACTGCAACAAATTAACTCAAAAATCATAAAACACACATCTTCGCGCACAAACAAAATACTGAAAACGTAAAAATAGAAAGTTCAATCAGAAAACAAAATAGTGACAAATTGGTCTTAAGGCCAATCAAGCAACTACAATAATCCATTCTAATATGACAAACACTGACCACTGCTGTCACAATGCTGCGAAATATGGGGAGTTAAATATAATGATTCCATTGAAAAAGTCCACGCTATATATTTAAACATTTATTAGGTGTTGATGATATGCCTCTAACAAAGCTATTTTAGGAGAAATTGGTCACACTGGTCCCTTTGTTTCATCTCAGTGAAGGGCTGACAAATATTGGATAAAGCTACTTCGTATGATTTCGAAAAGATTTACCGTTCAATGTTATAACATGTTGAAATGATCGGATGATAATGGGAAAGACACTTGGGTGTCAGATATAAGAAATATTCTATTTATGTCTGGTTTCCCTTGATTGGATATCTCAAAATGTTGGAAATGACAAGTTATTTACCTTTATCCTTAAAACAGTGATTATATGGCATATTTTCAAAAACTGGCACTCTCAAATATCATCCTCAAGATTTCTGTGTCATTATGCAAATATAAAATCATTACTTATTCCTGAAAAATATGTATCCGAACTGCAGGATAGATCTTGAAGACGCGCATTCTGTAAATTACGAGTATCACTCCACAATTTTAATGTTAGATTTTTTAGAAAGAAGTACATGATAAAAAAATTAGTTTATGTCACTTTTGCTATGTCGAGGAGGAATTTCATGTTCTTTTCATTTGTGAGCATTACCAGTCTCTTAGAAGCAAATACCTCCCTATGATCTCAACTGTGTACAAAGATGAACAACACATGAAAAACCTCTAAACTCAAGAAATAGCAATATAATATTATCTGTTTCAATATTCCTTAAAAGATTTTTAAAATTAGACGGTAATATATGTATGCATATTTATATTTCCACGTGACTGTGCAATGTAAAAATATCATAACAACCCAACTGTATTATAGGCCATATGGCCTGAAATAGTGAATTCACATCTGTCTGTCTGTCTGTCTGTCTGACAACGCTAAAGGTCAAATCCCCACAGTAACTAATTACTGAAAACATTGAAAATACCGTGCGAGTAGCACGGACATAAACTTCATTGAATAAAACATTTACACTGACAAGGCCGGGACATGTCAGGCCCTTGAACCTGTTGAACACGATGAGAGGATTTTAAAGTGCACATGACAATCGTAACGATTAGGTCGTGTCTGGTATGCGTCTCAAACATCTATGTTTAATAACGGGAAGTTTTTCTTCAGCATTTGTGAAAGGCGAGTTTAAAAATTTACAACAAATGCATAAAAAAAGCAAATATGACAAAGTCATGAAGCAAAAGCTAAACAGACAATTGAAATAATCAATAAATCCAACATTCAATTGATACGTTTGTCAAATAACGATGGCAACTATTGCTGTTATAATGCAAAATATAAAACCCAACATGTTATAGCAGTAAAACCTCAATAGAAACACAACTGTCAATTTACAGTGTTATGAAACCAAACGCGACATAAAATTAATCAATTAAAACACCCAGCCTAGCAAGGCCGGAAGATGACAGTCAATCAAACCAAGCACGAACTTTCACAGCGACCACAAACAATAAAAACAAGATGAAATAATATGTATGTGTGTCTCTGTGTGTTGTGTGTTATGAAAATTATAGCATGTTATTTTCGATTGTTGAAAAAGGGATACTTCTTTTTCTATTCTACTTGAACTAATCGCCGGCAAGATGTTGTGATTCTAATGGTCGTCTACTCGCTGCGTTTTATCTATACATATTGATACTATGCTAAAATGGAGACAAATATTTCCCTGCTCTCTCAGGACGTTCAGCAACATAGTTCCGCATTAGTTTAGTGTATGTGTCGTCATCAACAGCAGACGGCTCTGATGTAGCACAGTCTGGTGCAAAGCATCTTTGGCAACATCGTTGACTGCATCGTCACAGTCTGGAGCAAAGCACTCTGCTATAGCAACATCGTTGACTGCATCGTCACAGTCTGGTACAAAACACTCTGCTATAGCAATATCGTTGACGGCATCGTCGCAGTCTGGAGCAAAGCACTCTGCCAGTACAGGCAAGTCCGGGACAGCAGCCCCTGGTACTGAATCATTTCGGTTCATGACTGGCAGCTCACACATGATGGCAACATCTTCATCTCTGATTTCACAGTAGTCCGGCAACACCTGGTCGTAATGGCTTGGCGCTGCGGCTTGATTAATGCTCAGGATCCCGTTCCCTCTGGGAAAGACAATATGTTTGTTTGATATATAATGACATGCTCTGCTGTCAGATGGTGTCCTGTAAGTAATCCAGTCGGTCCAATTTAACTTTCTATCTCACACTATGCACTTCTCTTTCTGCTTTTGATGGAAACATGACTTGACAAAAGTTTCAAAGCTTCTAAAATTAATTTACCCAAATATACCCATGGCTCCTTATACAGGTTGACCCTGACGTGATGATCACCTGGTTTCCTCAGAAACTCACTCCATTTCAAATCGTCTCACAGTGGTGACGCGTCTTTCAACACTAGGAATCTCGGTTTTCCCCTTATCAGTGAAACCTTTGTCTGGGCACCTTTCACAAATGATCGCAAAAAAAACAAGGGCAAGTGATAAGGGCAGTACGGCTGGGTCAAAGAGCAAACATGCAAAATACATTACAAAAGCTTGACAGCATAGTTTAAACCATACATATTTATCTTTGAATTAAAACTTTAAATGGCTATATTAACTACCGGGCAAAAGAAGTTATCACTTTAAAAATGATTGTATAAAACAAGAACGCTGGTACAGGTTTGAACTCAAGCAGAAAAACATTCACAAAATCGCAACATGGTCCCGATAACAACGTAGCTGTCCGAAAACTTCCTGCGAATCGTGCATTTATTAAAAAGTGAAAAATTGTGGGACATTGGTCCAAATGCACGTGGATGATTGTGGCATAAATACCGATTTTGGACAGAACAAACATGCACGCGCAGTGACAGAAAAACTTAACTAATATTCCACGACTTACGTATTAGCAACGAGACAGTGCAGTCGGTATGGCCAATATTAGCAACGGGGGCTTCACAACGTCAGCTGGCAAGAACCCTAAACTGCAGCCAGGCCACGGTCAGCAAATTGATAAACAGGTACCAGAAAACAGGGCAGACTCAAGACCGCCCATGATCGGGAAGAACAGCAGTCATGACACCAAAAGCCTTGACCCGTCTACACCGTCAATGCAGACTGTGTATGAACTGCACGTCAGTGGCAGGGACGTGACTAGTAGAGAGAACGCTCGTTTCAGATGAAAGTCGGTTCAAAAACGATGGTTCCAATTTGTCGACGAAGAAGAGGGCGACTGGCGCCAAACTATGTTCGACAAGTTCATCAGTTCGATGGAGGTGGCGTCATGGTATGTGGTGGCATAACATGACCCAAGCCTGCCCAATTTTGGGAAGACCAAGAGTCATACATCCAGCAAATAGCACTAGGACGGCACAAAAACACACCATCAATAGAAGAATATTCCTTCGCCGACTTGGTACGGCTGGTATAGTAGTCTACCACCCCTTCTGCTGAATGACTCGTCAACGCCATGCAATGGGCTGTTACAATGACTGTGCGTCGGTAACAGCCACGTGACTGCGAGACAGTGCTTCTTACAGATGAAACTCGGTTCAGTCTGTTGGTGGCAGTGTTCTAGTTTTTTGGCGTAGAGGAGAGCGACTGGCACCCAACTGCGTTCAAGAAATTTATCAGTTCATGGCCTCATGGTAGGGGTTGGCATTTGTGACAAAGAACAACAAGACTGGATATCATACGAAGAAATCTAATTGCGCAGTCAAGACCTTTTGTGGAACCCTGTATTCAACAACAGCCAAGAGAAGTCATTTTCCAGCATGACAACGCAAGGCGTCACACCGCCAGAATTGTTCGACAATACCCACACAACGTTAACATTAACGTCAACGTATTGCCTTGGCCAACACGTTTCTCCACAAATGAATACAATTGAATATCTCTGGGATCATCTGGATCGTCAGCTGAGACAGCGTGTACCACCTCCAGCGAACCGACAGGAAGTTGAACAGACTCTCTTGGACTTATGGAACAGGACTTCTTGCTGACGTCATCCACCGACTGACAACGTCAGTGAGGAGATGAGTGTTGATGTGTATGGATGGCCAGGGTGGGCACACTCGCTATTGGTCGCGTGTATGGATGGCCAGGGTGGTCACACTCGCTATTGGTGATGTGTGTATGGATGGCCAGGGTGGTCACACTCGCTATTGGTGATGTGTATGGATGGTCAGGGTGGTCACACTCGCTATTGGTGACGTGTATGGATGGCCAGGGTGGTCACACTCGCTATTGGTGACGTGTATGGATGGCCAGGGTGGTCACACTCGCTATTGGTGACGTGTATGGATGGCCAGGGTGGTCACACTCGCTGTTGGTCGCGTGTTAACTTTTATTTTGCCTGGTAGTGTATGTTTATCGTACTCATTACTTAGCAATGGAACTTATCAAAACCTCCAATCAACTTACTATATGGATACATTCAACTCCAAGGAATTATTAAATGACAAATCTAAAAGTGATATGAACAAAAAACTGTGACCTCCGCCAGCTGCAAAAACATCCCTGACTCCTCACTGAGTTTATCATACATTGAATATAACGTTGAGATATTCCGTTCCATTCTCGATGTCCCAAACATGCTCTATAGGATTGAGGTCTGGACTCCTGGTGGCCCAGGGTAGGGTTGCTGGCGCCTTTTGACAGAGGAAATCACCAGCGGCAAGTGCAACAACCATGTCTACCCAACCGCCATAATAAAATTTTGTTCATTAATTTACCCACAGACTATATCACCAGGCACATAGATGGTATCGACAGCCTCACACTCACCTTGCCATCCCCACACGTCTACGGCAACACATCCCCACCGCCAACAGACTGCCAACCACCACAAACAGTATCGTCGTAGACAGAGTGGCTACTTGCATACCACTGGCGACTTCTGTAAAACAAGGAAAATAGAGTTTTATATAACATAATCACGCATTAAACTGAATTGATCACATAGTTAGACCACTGTTTAACCAAGAGGAATTGTTGCAGTTACCTCGGTTACAGTGTTCCAGTCTCAGACATTCCTCCATGGAACAGTTGGATGTGCAGGTTGAGGCACATCTTCCTCCAGTCAGGTGACAGCCACTGAAACACGTGCCAGTCTTCTGATCGCAGACACCACCAAGACAGACGTTACACGTGAGATGACAGCGTCCTCCATAGAAGCCACGCGCACACCCATCTGTACACCACCCGGTGTCTGACTGACACTTGGAGTTTCTACAGTTAGAACTACACGGAGAAGAGCACTGTGGGCCATGCCATCCCTCGTCACACCCGTGGATACAGTCCCCACTGTCTCTGTGACAGTCACGTACTCCAGTGTTTGGCGCCAGTAAAGGTTTGTCAGTAGAGATGTTGGGGTCTGGTCCACACTTGTCACTGCAAGTCTCGTCACAGAACGTGCCATAAAATCCAGCAAGACAACCCCATGTGCATCCATGTTCACAGGACCCCAGGCAGTGATCACAGGAATACCGACAGTTTGGACCAAAGTATCCAGGGTGGCACTGTCTGCACGATCCTGTCATCCTGTTGCAGGACTTACATCGACTGGAACACGACCTACAGCCAGTCCCGTAGTAGGAGTCTACACATCCAGACACACAGAATGAGCCCAGCTGACAATATCCTCCATCACAACCACCTGGACATGCTGTACAGCTACCTCGTGGACTGACACAGGGTATGTTACACCGAGGGCCTTCATATCCTGGGACACAACCATCAGTACAATCACCTATACCAGAGACTGACAACCGACATGAGTGGTTTCTGCAGGTCTTGCTGCACAATGACGTGCACATCAAACCGAAATACCCAGTGTCACACCTTGTGAGACAACGTCCATTTTTTTCTGTCACATTCTGTACAATGCTGGTTGTCACTGCAATTGTCGCCTGAAATGGAAATGAGGTTTTAATAAACCACCAACTTTACTGTCCTGTGCCAGCACAATGAACATGGAGAGAGTGTCGTGAAGCAGTGTTATTCACTGTGTAACATTGTACCTGTTGACATTTAGTATGTCCTGTGCTGTAGTTAGACTGTTGGTTAGACACAGACTTCCGGTTAATACCGCATAGGATTCAGATTTGAAATCAAACTTTACCCGTTTCACACACTCATGATGCAACAATGTGTCTTTATCACAATGTGGACTAGAGCACGCAGACAAATACACACACACACCCGCGCGTGTCTCACTAAAATAATTTGAACGCGACGTTATCATAACATCAGAAATAACTTATGTCATTGATGTTTGTAAACAACTGTGTATGTTGAGTCAATTCTCATTTCTCAGTGCATGGGACATTAATCAACATGCGTCATTTATCCAGCATACCCAAATACTTTGATCGTAATTAAGACTGCAGGAAATAATCAGATGTATAAGCGAACAGCAAGCTTAAACTCTTACCTTTAGAAAAAAGTTATGAGATACACCCAACACAATAACTTCAACAGTGTCATGGTGTGTCCAGATATCTCACGCAATATGAATACAATGTTGGAGTTGTGTGTTACTGTAAGGCTTTCCCACACACTGAGTGTGAGATGTTAATTTGTCCTTATACACAGCGAGTGACTCACCCGCTAGCAAATTTGTTTAATTGATTTAAAGCAAATGTCAGTTTTTTCCTTCTGAGCAGGAAATCGGGGTATCGGTGAACTCGCGCCTTCGAAGTTTTAAATTGTCAGCCCAAAGCGGGAAGTATTTTCTCAAACTGATACCATCGGAACAACATTTATTCATTTAACAAATGTTATATTTGGGATTACACTTTCTCAGTAAAGTGCAGATTCTAGCACTTTTGTTTGGTTGAGGCCCATCCGGGATTCGAACCCACACCCACAGAGTGAGGCACCTAATCTCCAACACACAAAGTCAGCCGCCTAACCCGCAAAGCCACAGCGACATCAAACTTGGAATATTTTGGTGCCATGGTAATTGAGGTTTTATTACTGTAATATACACTAGACGCCAAAAGAAACGTTACCCTCCTTCCTTAATGACGGAGGTACCTATCTTCAACTGGCGTTGTGATGCGTGGACGGCCACTTCTTGGTCTGCCTACGGTGACTCCAGTCTGTCTGAAGGCCCTGTATAAGTTTTCGTGATACGGTGGCATCCGAGGGCGTTGGCAACAGCACTGTATGTCGAACCAATCTGCACCATCCCAATGGCTTTTTCTCTCTCTTCAGCAGTGAATCGTGGCATATTTCTCGTACTTGAGTATCATATCATCTTTTCTAGGCTCACTTCATACCCTATCATTCTACATGTGAAATGGATTCAAACATGTGAATATGGATGCAAAATTGCTTGAAAATTGCTGCATTTTGGAAATTGATACTTTGCAAGCAACAATGTTACCAAAGATCATTGTAGAAGTTCTAAACATTTTTCTCACGATATCAAGTACACGTTTTACTTGTTTTCACTAATGCAAATCAGTAGAAAATGTTTTAAAAGACTGAAATCATATGAATGATTATACTACAATTTTACACACTCTACAACAGTTGTTTCTTGTATTAATAGTTGAAAGTGGTGATTTTAAATGGTTTATGTTTGTCCCAAAGCAGAATTTCATTTCAACCTTTCTTTTGGACATCTAAATTACTCTTATTGGTTTATTTCGGCATGGACGAAAATAGGACAATTTACTTCTTCTGAAAAAGATGCATTTCACCAAAATATGAATGCATTTGAGGAATTTTTTTCGTGATTTGCATAAAGCTGTGTTGTTCAGCTTTCTTGTAAACTAATACCTTCTACCATATCTTTGATAGTTTTTAAGTAATTCATAAAGGTAGAAGAGTAATGTTTCTTTTGGCGTCTAGTGTACATGTACTTTAAATAGAAAACAAAGAAACTCGACATGCTGTTTTGGAGTTTACTTACTGAGTGCAAACTGATTCAACTGATTCAAACACCAGGACATCTCTGCTCAATTACAGCAAAATCATCACTTTACAAATTTCCAAAACACGATTATCCAGAAAGTGTTTGGTAGAGGCTATTAAAGCCACTGTAAAGTGAAATGTCTCTATCTGATGTGACCACCGTGAGCATCGATAACAGCTTGGCAGCAGTGATCCATAGAAGAGAGGAGATGCCGAATGCTGTCTTGAGGAATGTTTTGATACACTTACTGATGTGCTGTGTGCAGTTCTTGTAGTGTCTGAAGTGGCGGATTACGCTGGCGTTAGCGTCGATCAAGAGTATCACATAGACGTTCAATGGGGATAAAAAAATTGGGACATCGAGAAAGCCATGGTAACACCTGAACGTTGGTTTGCTGAAGGAAGTCCTGGGTCCCGTTCCTCAAAGCGATCGTAGCGCTAAGGTGATTGTAACTCCCATACTTTAACATAGACTTACGACAGTCGTAGCGCTACGATCGCTTTGAGGAACGGGGCCCTGGTAAACACGTGAACGTGGTAGTAATAATGGTCATGTGCGTAAAGCGTAGGTCATAAATGTCTTAAAGTTAAGCAATACAGAGCGCGGAAAGTCCTTGGGTGGGTGACCGTGTTTGGCACCTCGACTCCTGAGATTCCTGTCCCACAACGAAACATATGTGATACATGTGGTCTCACCTTAGACAAGTGAATTTGTTCAAAGTTGTTCACCCAGCAGAAAATGGGTACCCGGTTTCATAAAGCCATATGACAATTAACCTTCTAGCGCCTCACAGGCAACTTGGGTTATCCGGGGTAATAATAATCAGATTATGATTACAGCGTCCAGTGAGCAACTAGACAGATGTATACTAGGCGCTATATAAATGGATTGTTATTATTATTGTAACGTGAGGTCGAACATTGTCATACTGGAAAGATCCACCGTTAACTCTGGTGAAGGGAACGACGTGACGTTGTTCAAAATAAAAGTCTCTATAGCGAACCCCATTTAATGCACCTGCTTCCTGCACAAAGCTGTCCGGCCATTATGATGGATACCTGCCCACACCATGACACTTCCACAGCCAAATGTATCGACCTGCTGTACACAGGTTTCGGCGTAACGCTTGTTCCGACGTTTGTATACACGTGGACGTCCATCAGCACGTTTGAGAAGAAACCAAGACTCATCTGAGAACAAAATTGTCCACATCTTGCCCGCGGCCATCTCACACATTGTTTGACGTTCTGCCGGTGACGTTACGTCGAACTGGTCTTCTGGCAAAAAGTCAGGTTTCCCGTAGCCGATTGCACACTGTCTGTTCGGAGAATCGGCGCAGTCCAGGATTTGGATTGTTGTGGATGATGTGGCCGTGGTACGTGAACGAAGATGTTTCAACCGGATGTAGCGACCCTGGTCGACCTGACCCGGGTCTGTCATTAACACTCCCTGTATTGTTGTATCGGGTCAGTAGGTTTGAGATGTTCTGTCTGTATTGTTGTATCGGGTCAGTAGGTTTGAGATGTTCTGTCTGTATTGTTGTATCGGGTCAGTAGGTTTGAGATGTTCTGTCTGTATTGTTGTATCGGGTCAGTAGGTTTGAGATGTTCTGTCTGTATTATTGTATCGGGTCAGTAGGTTTGAGATGTTCTGTCTGTATTGTTGTATCGGATCAATAGGTTTGAGATGTTCTGTCTGGACACGTCGAAGTGCATTGCCACCTCATTCTGCTATGCCGTCCGGCCATACGTATTTCATGTTGGGTGCGTTTTAGCGATTCGCTACAAATGTGAGTGTAACCTTACGTTTCTGTTCAACGTTTCTACTCTTTTAAACGTTTTGTCGTCTGCAACCATTCCCCCACATCTTTGGATTCAGCATGGATTGGTTTGTGTCTAATGTTTTCCTAAAATTCAAATTTCAAAGTTTCTTTTTTTAATAAGTAAAAAATTATAACCTGACAGCAAGGGAGGTGAGGTGAGGTGAGGTGAGTGAGACACTGCTCTCTGTATGTCTTTGTATCATATACATATCATGTTGACTATCTCGTTGAAAGCTCAACATGTTAAATATCCCAGGTAAAGTCTAAAACCGCTTTTGATAATTAGAGTTCGGTTCAGGTTACATTTTTTTATGCTGTTATTGTCCAAGAAACGTTTCTTTTTGGTGCCCTCGGTTGATAGTTGAAGATGGTGGACAACGGACGCAAGACAAAGTTCAGGGGTGTATCTCGAGTAATATATACTCTCCAAAATAAGAAACGCATATAGGAATTTCAACTGTAGTTTTAACTTTATTTTGAAACATCTTGTAGGCTTTATGAGTCAATGAAATATAGCGAAATTGCACACTGGGAATGCAGACTTATCCGTCTTTGGCACCAACTCGAGGAAAGTCAGTTTGAGTGTCACATGGAGATGTGTGGTGGCGCTGAAGTCAATACCTCGTGTGACCACCGTGGGCATCCAGAACTGCACGGCATCGCCTCGGCAACGAACGAATAAGTCTCAGAATCTCGTGTTGCCCAATCGCAGCCCAGTCTGCCTGTGCGAGTTGCTGAAGTGTCTGGGGCTGAGGGTTACGGCGTCGCATCCGTCTGTCTAGGGGCATCCCACAGATGTTTGATCGGGTTTAAGTCCGGTGATCTTGAGGGCCAGGGGAGCACATTGATTTTGTGGTTCTGGAGGAAGTCTCTAGTGTGACGTGTTGTGTGGGGCCTGGCATTGTCCTGTTGAAACAACTCCCTCTGGCGACCAATGATTGGAAGGAGGTGTGGGCGTAGGATTTCGTCACAGTACCGTTGAGCTGTCAGGTTGCCCTGGATCATCACCAAATCACTTCTCCTACGGCAAGTGATCGCTCCCCACATCATAACACTGTCCCGGCCGAATCTGTCCACCTGGGGAACGCTAGCGTCGGCGAAACGTTCACGTCGACGTCTGTACACCCGCGTTCTTCCATCGCGTCGTTCCAATAGAAATCGTGATTGATCACTGAATCAGATTCTAAGCCAATTCGGTAGGTTCCAGGCCTGAACGCTGGTGCACCATTGAACTCGATGTCGACGATATTGTTGTCGAAGCACAGGACCAAAATAAGGTCTCGTACATCAGCCTCTCTCAACCTGTTCCTGACGGTCTGTGCAGAAAACCTCCTCAATCCGGGTATTTGTCGAGCCGTACTGGTCCCCGTAGCTGTTCGATGACGCAGATGATCTACCCGGATGTAGCGATCCTGCGCCGCAGTGGTCGCTCGAGGTCGCCCACTACGAGGGGATCTGCTACCACATTCAGCCGGCGATATCTCTCCCAGAGCCGTGAAATGGCGCTTTGGTGAACATTCATGCGTCGGGCAACTGCACGTTGAGACTGACCAGCTTCAAGCAAACCAATGGCGATATGACGGTTGGCTTCACTTAGACGTGGCATTTTGCGTTTGTCAACAATATTTAAAATACAGTGAATAAGCGACAGACAGCGATCAACCTTTTATACCCATCATTGAGACTATCTGATCCCCACTTTTCACGTGCATTGCATGTGAATTGTGTATTCTGTGATACTACAAGCCGAAATTGAAAATCATGCTGTTAAATCCGTTTTGTTGTGATGTTTCAAAACATAAACACCATAGGACTCATAAACAGAGCAAAACCTTTTGCAAAATGAATCACGTTTTAATTCATTGCTACATGAAATTGCTATTTTCATGATGCGTTTCTTTTTTGGGAGAGTATATAATAGAATTGCCATTCACCCTGATGTGAAGTGAAGTGACCTTTTCTGTTTTGTATTCGCTTGCTTTAAAAGAAGGAATATAATTTTGAACTGAGATTGAAATCAAACGTCCTTGATCAAGGTCACTAGGTACACGACCACAAGTCGATTGGTACTGTTTTCTTGAAACCAAAATGATGAACCGGAATAAGATTGTACTGCATCTGAGTTGAATTCTATCAGATAATTGAGGTCATGCGTATTTGTATTCATTTCCAGGTCCCTCTGGTAGTAAAACTGAAGGCGTTGCTTTTCTTTGTCTTATCAATCAAATCTTTATTTCTGATACTATGAGGCCACGGGCCTATGAGTACAAAAACACCTCATCGGTGCAGACATGAAAGAAAATGATAACAATGAAAGCATGTATAATATATACAATCTTAATATGACAAAATTGATTTCCTTTTTTCGAATGCATAAAACAGATATTTAGCAGTATTCAAGGAAATGTCTTCATTTTTGGATGATAACAACGAATTGAATTTTAGTATATTGGGAAAAACATAGAATTGTGACAAAAGATATTTACGTCTTAATTAGGTACACGACCACAAGTCGATTGGTACTGTTTTCTTGAAACCAAAATGATGAAACGGAATAAGATTGTACTGCATCTGAGTTGTTTTCTATCAGATAATTGAGGTCACGGTTATTTGTATCTGGTGAAGAACTTTCATTTCCAGGTCCCTCTGGTAGTAAAACTGAAGGATTTGCTTTCTCTGTCTAATATATGCACATGATCACATCTACATAAAGTTCTGTATTTATGTTAATAAATGTCACAAGATGTGGATTTGTCATGTTTCTGTCACAACAGGTGTTCCCACCACTGAAAGCAACTTCGATGATGAATCAACTTTCAAGGATGTGGATTATGTTCTTTACTGCTCTGTCAGCCTGTGAGTACCTCATGTCAACGACTAAGTTTTGCTGATAGAAGCTTCGGTGAAACTTTTAATAGACTTTTGGAAATACATAAATGATTTATCTCACAGGCAATTTCTGTTTAAAGATGTTGACATGCATGAAGACAACAAAATATGGATTTGAACACTGACACCATGTATTGCCCTGTTTCAGCCATAGCTGTTCAAGACAACAGTTTGTGTGAGTGGGGGAAATATGGCGAGCACTGCAACTTGACTTGTCCTGTGAACTGTGCCCTAGTTCCACCAAGTAATCTTCAGCACTGCAACAGAGACACGGGGGAATGTTCTGCGGGATGTCTGGGTGGTTGGCATGGTGATCTGTGTGACCAAGCCTGCAGCGCCACCTGTCCAGAAAGGAGATGTAACCAGCAAACAGGGTTCTGCACACTTGGCTGCAGTGGGACCAACATGGACCTTTTTTGTAACCCTATAACAGGTAAGGCAAGACGCGGTATAAACATTATATATATAAACTTGGAATGATAGAAGGACGGGGAAAACTCGTTATGTGGTCCAGCAAACTAAAGTTTCAGGAAAGCAAATGTTCATAAATTAATTGTTAAATATCTGAAGATTAAGAGATACCTTGTGATAATGAAATGTTTACACTAAAAGACGCCAGAATTGCGTGATGTTTTGTGATCACAATACTGTGAAAGTCCCGGTTAGGCAGTTGCCCCAACAGATGTTTATCCTTCTGTGAAAATCCATTTATTGGGTTTAAATCGTAAATTATATAAACTGAACCATTTATAATAGTGACAAATTTCCATCGTGACAAGAGAATAAGAATTTAATAGGACTGCACGGAATTACCGGTATACCGCTTTTCAAACGATACGCATTGAAATATTTTTTTTCTGAGAACCTGTAAATTGTGTAAAAAACATAAACGAAGATTGTATGATCATCTGTATAGTTTAAATTAAAATCTACACAGTCTACACAGACTTCCATTCACAATGTTTCCTTTCGTTATTCAATGACAAAACGGCATGCTGTAAAAGTTTAAACTGTATAGAAAAGAAAATAGAATCCCTGACTATGCTACCTAATGTTGGGATTGCTGTTGTCAGAACCATAACATATACATGTATGTTTGGGAACTTATAATGTAGAAAATAGGATCGACACGCACAGTTAGTGGCACTTACTGTCAAACACTTTAGCTCCCAATATATCGCAATACCTACCTACTTACCTACCTACCTACCTTACCTTACCTAACTACCTACCTCCCTACATACCTACCTACCCCCTCCTTACCTACCTACCTACCTACCTACCTTCCTACCTACCTACCAACAATACATTATAGGTTTGGGAGTCAGTAACTGGAGTAGCGGAAAAGCTTTCAGCTCTTGTTCTGTGAACATCTGGTGTCGTCATTATTTGACATCTCAAGTAAAACATATTGATCAAATATTAATTTCTGTTTAAGCAATACAAGTTGACATTTCTATCTACATGGTTAAGAAAACAACAACATGTCAAGAATGTTTGGGTTAGTCTCAATGTGCATGCCTCTGTTAAGTATAAATGTCAAATTTATCATAGATTTCGCTCATGAAGAAAACTAGCAAAAAAACGAGATATCGTTGTACAAAGGTAAAGAATTAGAATGCACAAGTTCGTACAAATACTTGGGAATGTTCTTCAGTAATTATTTATCTTGGACAGCACATGTTAATTACGCTTGTTTGCAAGCACAAAAGGTCATGATAGGTATCTTTAAACAATTAAATGTACTTTGACACATAGATATAAGTTCATACATTAATATATTCGATGCCCCAATTAAGCCAATTTTATTGTATGGAGCCGAAATATGGGGTTTGAATTATTACAATTATGTCGAAAGAGTTCAATTGAAAGCATGGAAAAGATTTATTGCTGTTAAATCCAATACGATGAATACAATGGTGTATGGAGAATGTGGTAAATACCCGATGCACTTATTTTCAAATATCAGAGTTATAAAATACTGGTTAAACTTCCTATAGTCTACCAAAGAAATGTTACAATATGATGATGCTATTCGATAAAAATGGACACGCAAATTGGGTTTCTTCTGTTAGAAATTTTCTATTTTCGAAAGGGTTTGGTTTTGTATGGAATGATCAGTAGGTTGATTTCTTTTAGAACTAACACGCAGATTAAAAGATATCTATTTGCAAGAATGGTTTGAAAAGTTATCACTTTCCAGAAAATGTTTGTATTATAAGATGTTTAAATATACTTTTGACGCCGAAATTTATCTGTCATGTCTAAACGTAATCAAGTATAGGATAGCGTTAAGCATATTAAGATGTTCTTCACATGATTTATTTATCGAAAGTGGAAGATTTAAAAATGTGAAAATAGAAAATAGAACTTGCAAAGTGTGTGATCTTAACCAAATAGAAGATGCATTTTGTTTTAATTTGCCCTGCTTATTATTTCCTGAGAAAGTTGTATATTAAGAAATATTATTGTGCCTATCCAAACCTTTATAAATTTTCAGCATTGTTAAATAACAAAAACCATACAATACTTCAAAACTTGTCCATGTTTGCTTACTATGCAATGTTGTTTAGGACAGAATATATCTCAGAACACAATCTAACCTACAGTTGATTATTTTTTTTTTCTTCATGTATATTACATGTCCGTGTAAATATTGATTTATAAATGTGTTGTACTACAGGACTGTGGCCTTTCAGTACCGGAAATAAATATACACATAAAGGGAGACCACTCGTTCCTTAGGTATCCATACACAATCTGTTTATGATATAGTCGGATATGTAAATTCTTATGGTTGTATAATGGGTTTTGACTCTTCTATCTCATAAGTATGTACTTTGTGTCCAGAGTGTGGTCGTGGCTGGTATGGAGATACATGTGAACATCCCTGCAGCAGCAACTGTGTGGAGGACAGATGCCACCAAACAACTGGAGTCTGTGTACTTGGATGCCGTGGGACTTATGCTGGAGAGGATTGTAACATCACGAAAGGTGCGAATTTTGGTTAGCATATGTGTACAAAATGAGGTGAATATTTAGCTGAAAACCGAATTTTTGAATGCGTAAATCGATACATCGTTGTGAAATCAGCAAATAGTTGACAACTACCACGCTGTCCTAAAACACACGTTTTGGTCTGCAATCACAAAGGACAGTAACATGGTCTTATTTCACGACAACAGCAACATATAATATGAACAAGTTTATCTTCGCAGAAACAAGGTAATTATACAACTACAGCACTCACATCTATTTGCAATGTTCAAATATTAAGATGATGGTTTCCTTGAGATTTCCTTAAATTTAACAAACGACAGGAATTACTTACCAATAAATCTGCGTGGGTGCATTTAGACATTTCCGACATGCCGACAGCAATTATCTGCCTATCAAAACACATTTTATTCCATCAAAATATTGGTAATGAAGAAAAGTTATAATTATGTTACTATCTGATCTCACAAGGTCCTCAGAACAGTATTGCATTAACAATTAACCAGCAGTTTGTATGAGCACTGTTGGATTTGTCCAGAAACCTCTTGGCCTCCAGCAGCTGCGAACAACAAGGAAGGAGGAGGGGGCGTGATTAGCATAAGGGTTCCTGTGTTCCTGGCTGCAGCTATAACAGTCGCACTTGTGGTCGCAGTCGCTGGCGCTGTCGCTCTCCCAATCATCGTGTTATTGAGGTAAATATATTTTATGCACTAGGTAGCAATTAGATATCCGATTTATGAAAATATGTGTCCACGGGATTTCAAAATATCCTCCCACAAGCATCGAAGGTGCATACCCATTCCTGCAGTCATAAATGTTATCGTTCAAAAGTGTAAGTTCACTTCAGTATCTAGAATACCAAGTTATATCAGTTAGTTTGTCTCCCAGTCCCAAACGAAAGAGCAGTCCCACTCAAGACCAGAATGTCATGACTCGGGTAGTAGTGGTAGAAATGACACAATAAACCAACTTAGCTCCATGTTAAGTCTATGGGAGTTTTATCATCCTCAAAGTAGAGATGCGGACGATACTTCCGGCGTCACGTGGTCGTATGCATCTTATTGGGTGGAATTATTATCGAAAACCAATTGCTATGACGCCCCCACCGTTTGGAGCAATCAGCGTATGCCAAGTTGTAAATCGAATCAACCCACTGGACAGCTTATCGGGACCGGAAAAGCTAGCTGGATGGGCTGTCTGTCTATATGAACAACTGTAATCTGATATCAGCCCATATGTTAATTTCCACAAATGTGAGAGAATGGCTGACCAGAGTTGTGTTGAATATGATAATACAGTTATTCACCAGAGTTGTGTTGAATATGATAATACAGTTATTCACCAGAGTTGTGTTGAATATGATAATACAGTTTATCACCGGAGTTGTCTTGAATATGATAATACAGTTATTCACCAGAGTTGTCTTGAATATGATAATACAGTTATTCACCAGAGTTGCCTTGAATATGATAATACAGTTATTCACCAAAGTTGTGTTGAATATGATAATACAGTTATTCTTTCTGATCCACATTTTTCTGAGTATGTACACTTATTTTTGACTTGCACCATACGTCCCTGTTTTGTTTCGTTTTGTTACGGGTGTCCTGTCAGCTAGTAATTTTTTAAAGAATGAATCTAAATTTATTCATATTGTATGACTGCTTATATTACTTTCACCATATTGCGTAAATGTAAGTCAGCAATAAAGAGTGAGTCCACGATTTCGGCTGCATCGTAAGCATGGTGACAGTTGAATACTCCGCACACCTCACGTGGACGGTTGATCTATTGCCTACACTGGACCTGGATGTTGTACACTAACCAATGTCTCCTGCACACATGGTTTAGTGGATCTGTGATAGTCCAGGTTGACGGTATGATTATGTCTTGTCCTGCATTGCGCACATATTATACGGTCACTCAAGAGATCCACATTCTAAAACAAATATCTCCTGTTGCAGAAGGCGGAGAGACCAGAACAGGTAAGATGATCCTTAATGGCAGCATGTAGTACGGGTTGTACAGTCAGCAGTTCGGTAGTCAGACATTGTATAATTCAGGGGATCTTCCGCAGTTATGTTCAACCAGTTTACCTGAATTAGTTGTGAGGAGGGATCATTTAATTAGTTTACAAGTTTTCATATCAGTAGTTCAAACAAGGGAAATAAATCTGTAGCGGAACGATGTAAAATGCCCCCTTTTCTCTGTTCAGGTCACCTGAATAAACGGCTCTGTTTATGCTGTGCGTGCGTGTGTGTGGTAACGTGGTCATCAGTGTGCTGGTGTATGATTGAATTATAGGACTATACATATTGACGTTGACGTTCACGTAAACTAATGCGATTCTTACTGTTGAGGCCACGTGTTATACTCGTGCGGTTCCAAAGAATGCTGTGGACATGTTTATGAAACGAACCCGTGAACTTATCACTTGTTTCTCAAATTGATTCAAAATGAAATGATCGGCCGAGGAAAAATGAGACTTTATGTATTTTATTTACACAACACGGAGACAGGCGTACAGGTAAACATTGATTCACTTTGCATCTACATTGTAAACATTGCTAAGGGCTTTGACAGGCACCGAAATATATTCTAGTGTTATTCTAACGTTTGTTTGTTTATGTACAAGGCTCACATAATATTATCAGTTGTAAACCTTGAAAGAACATTTAGCAATTAATAGCAAACGGAATGTATAAATTTGCTACATTGTCTTACTTTCAGTTCACAAGAACGATGTAAGTAACATATTTGTACTCTCTTAAAATGTTTTAATTGACTACAAGTATACAGTAACATGAGCAACAGATCACTTTCCCAAATCACACCTAAAACGTCATGTTACGCGTGTAAGTACTACGACATATAGTTGTCCGTTTTAACCCCTGACCCGTGACGATCCGGGTTAGAGTTGATCGCCAGCCACCCACGTCTGTCGTAACAGGCGACTAATGGGATCGGGTGGTCAGGCTCTCTGACTGGGTTGGCACATTTCTCCATATCCAAAGTACGTATGTCTATGTTCGTGGGGGGCGGTGGGGTAGCCTAGTGATTAAAGCGTTCACTCGTCACACCGAAGACCCGGGTTCGATTCCCCACATGGGTATAATGTGTGAAGCTCATTTCAAGTGTCCCCCGCCGTGATATTGCTGGAATAGTGCTAAAAGCGACGTAAAACCATACGCACTCACACACTATGTTCGTGATGTTGATCGCTGGATTGTCCGGTCCAACCTCGATTATTTACACACTGTAATATTGCTGAGTGCGGCGTTGCACAACAAATCAACCACCCAAATCTTTAGTCTGTGCCCATAAATCTGATATGTTTTGTCCACAGCAACAGCTGACGGGGAAGGTTTGCTTGGAGGTAAGTGCCGGCTGTCCAGTCGATTTAGGCCCGTGAAGATCCGGGGTAGAATAGGTCTTCAGCAACCCATGTGCTTGCCATAAAAAGGCGACTATTTTGTCGTAAGAGGCGACTAACGGGATCGGGTGGTCAGTTTCGCTGACTTGGTTGACACATGTCATCGGTTCCCAATTGCGCAGATCGATGTTCATATTGTTGATCACTGGATTGTCTGGTCCAGACTCGATTATTTACAGACCGCCGCCATATAGCTGGAATATTGCTGAGTGCGGCGTAAAACTCACTCACTCACTCACTCCAGTCGATTTATGCAAATGAGTGAACAACTTTAGTTCACAGTTAGCATGGGCAATCAGTTTGAATATTAACGTCTACGGGCGAAATTAGATGTGTGTGGAAACCTGTTTATTCACATCCCCCTATCACCCCCCCCCCCACTCCACCCCCTACTAGGGTCCATGCAGGAAGCGTGTGTACTATAAGTCCCCATGGTCCCATGCATGGTGATCTCACTACAGTTGTTGCGATCTATAGCCCGTTTATATTTTGTATTGTCTTTCATAGTAATGATATCTTAGATTTTTATACTAGCTTTACGCTTATATATGTGACATTCTAGTTATTTTTACTGTCCTTCGCCGACAGCTTTTTATAATTACCATATTTTTTTATGCAATTACAACTTGTTTTTAGTCACGATATGGCTTCACTCACTCACTCACTCACTCGTTTTGGGAATAGATATGTTTATTTGAAATAATCTGTTTTGCAGGCTTTGGAAAACACACGGAGTCAGGATCTTCACCCAATGAGAAGCCCCCGATAGACACTTGAGCCTTGGGTGAAATCAGACACGAGACAGTATGAATTTTTTTCATCGACATTTGAAGAAACTCAGAAAGAATAAATGAACAGTTAACATATCAAGTGCGTAAACTGTTGTGCGATAATAATATTTCTAAGTGTTGTGCAGATACTCAGAATATAATATGAAGACACAGTTTTAGTTTTACTATAATTCATCTGCAGATTTACTGAAGGTGAAGATTTGCAGAAAACAGAAATCTCCGCATTGACGAACAACAACCACAGGAGTACATCAACCACAGGGGTACATCAACCACAGGAGTACATCAACCACAGGAGTACATCAACCACAGGAGTACATCAACCACAGGAGTACATCAACCACAGGAGTACATCAACCACAGGAGTACATCAACCACAGGAGTATATGTTGTATACAGTAGGGTTGAGCAAGAAAGTCGAATATTTTGTTTTATGACGTAATCACAAAAGTGTGTGACCTTTTTATTTTGATAATGAGTTTTGAACCCTAAAGCCTCACCCCCTTCGGGATGAGTCTCCTCCAGGCCAAGGTGTGTGACTTTTAGGTTGACCTTAGTGGTCTGTGAATATTATTCAATTATTTCATGTATAAGAGTGGTATGCAGTGGCGTAGCTACAGCGTAGCACAAAAAGCAGGTACTTACACTTTAAAATTGAAACAAAATGTTGTGATTCAAGATGGGGTGGTTTCTTGTATGGTACCGTGGCACCCGAACGCAACTTGCCTAGCGGATTATTTATAGACAAACATGTTTTGTCAACAGTATGAAATAAATTATGTCTGGAAATAGGCCGAAATCGTTTATTCAGTAGGAGATATTTTTTATTTATTATTAGATATTTACATATCGATCCTATTACTGATCATAGTATTATTTGCAACCAGTGCTTTGATTGGTTGAAATGAACAACTTCCGAACAATTCTTCGACAGTAACCAATGACATCCTGTGTTTAAAACAAGTAAAGGATTTTCCGATAATCAAATGTCAAAGACCTATGACTGCTAATGATGTCGACTGCGAAGACATAAACGACTTACCTGGAGAAATATAATAATATGATGTTACTGTATGTAATCCGTGTATGTATTACAGTGCATATGCTTCATCATACACTTTTTTTTATATTTTTCATAAATTAGTCTTAACCAAGGAAATCTGTAAAGGTGCAAGTCGCTGTGCATTGTGATTCTCGTTTATAGCCCCGCATGTCAGCACAGCACAGCGGTAGTCTATTATCAGTCTAACGGTCCGCGCCAACCATAAACTAATTAATCAAAGATGAAGACAGTGAGCTGTGTCGGCTCCGGCCTTTCTTCTCGGGTGCTTCCCTTACCAACTACCTCGTGTAGTATACTTTGTCAGCGTAGGGTAGATGGAATCTACAACTTTAGGGAAACTGGATAATGACAAATACGAGGGTTATAAAATCCTGGGTTCTTCCATCTCAGGCACACTTGCTTGAATAAACCCATGGAAGTCACAGCTCTCTCCTTCCTTGTTTCAAGGTAAGAAACATTTAAACATTATTTTTGTTTATGTCTAACTTGTTAAGTTCTTTGTAATTATTGTCTATAAAATGTTAGAGTTAAGTTTGAAACATCCCTACGATATTGCAGCACTTTTAGAAATACCTACCGTTGTAAATGCTAGTTCTAGATAATCGATTAATAATTAGTCACTATCCAGTGATATCTATGCACATTGTGTCGTGGGTTACACAAGTTTTATGTCTTTTATGTACAAACAAATATCCAGTGATATCTATGCACATTGTGTCGTGGGCTACACAAGTTTTATGTCTTTCATGTACAAACAAATATTTGTTTATGTTTCAACACTCATGTGTATATTCCTAGTCCTGGTCTACTTGTATTCAGTTGTTAGATCTGTATATGCAGGTTAGATTCTCGTTCAGTAGCCTAGATTCCAGTACCCTAGTCACAAAAACAGTTCCGAGAGTTTATACTGACTGAGTTTGGTTTTACGCCGCTTTTAGCAATATTCCAGCAATATCACGGCGGGGGACACCAGAAATGGGCTTCACTCATTGTACCCATGTGGGGAATCGAACCCGGGTCTTCGGCGTGACGAGCCAACGCTTTAACCACTAGACTACCCCACCGCCTCTCGAGAGTTTATACAGTCATTTCTAGCAAAGATGAATTGGTCAGTTATTCCGTATTTTATGATAGTCCGCCGATCAAATGATATTCGTGCAGATTTACCTCAGATACTCGCTCACATAAGAGGTATAAGAGCATTTGTATTTTGATATTTCACCAACATGATAAGCATTTGAATAATGATATAAAACGTTCCGTTCCACGTGCAGTTGTTTACGGTACAGAACAGTTTATGGGCGAATCACATTACCGTAATCATTAGAAAATGGTATTGCCTCCACTTCATATTGCCCAAAACTATACATTGAAACCCGTGCCGTTTGCAATTACAGTCTTCATTTCGTATTTATTTAGCTCCGTAAATTTTAAGAAATCCGCGTAGCCAATGGCAACAGCACCGTCCAAGTACATTATTACAAAGTCATTTAACGTTTTTGTCTCGTTTCTGTAAAAGCACAAAAATGTACATTCCGACATGTTTTGTTTAAGTGTAGCAGTGCCATATCGTCCAGGTTATTGCAGAAACTCTGTATATAGCAACATAACCATCGAAACACATTTACCGTAGTCACTCAAATAAATCAGGATGAAACAAAGTAGACGTACTCTAACTAAAACCATATCATCTGTCTCCGTAGTTACACACTTTTACACAATATTTACCGAAATTATTGTATTGAGAAAATATATGCTACAATTGCAGTTAGAATGCGTACAGTCAGTACCGGAGTTTAATGGCATAGGTCAAATCTGAGCACTTCGCGCCGTTAACCGCACTTGCTCAATGCATGTATTTGATAACTAAAATGTACATACGCTAGTCGTAAATTCTTACCGTAGTTACTGCATTAAGCGCGACATACCGTGATAGTCATAAATCCTTACTGTAGTTACTGCATAAAGCGCGACATACCGTGCTAGTCATAAATCCTTACTGTAGTTACTGCATAAAGCGCGACATACCGTGATAGTCATAAATCCTTACTGTAGTTACTGCATTAAGCGCGACATACCGTGATAGTCATAAATCCTTACTGTAGTTACTGCATAAAGCGCGACATACCGTGCTAGTCATAAATCCTTACTGTAGTTACTGCATAAAGCGCGACATACCGTGATAGTCATAAATCCTTACTGTAGTTACTGCATTAAGCGCGACATACCGTGATAGTCATAAATCCTTACTGTAGTTATTGCATAAAGCGCGACATACCGTGATAGTCATAAATCCTTACTGTAGTTACTGCATAAAGCGCGACATACCGTGATAGTCATAAATCCCTACTGTAGTTACTGCATAAAGCGCGACATACCGTGATAGTCGTAAATCCTTACTGTAGTTATTGCATTAAGCGCGACATACCGTGATAGTCATAAATCCTTACCGTAGTTACTGCGTTAAGCGCAACATACCGTGATAGTCATAAATCCTTACTGTAGTTATTGCATTAAGCGCGACATACCGTGATAGTCATAAATCCTTACCGTAGTTACTGCGTTAAGCGCAACATACCGTGATAGTCATAAATCCTTACTGTAGTTATTGCATTAAGCGCGACATACCGTGATAGTCATAAATCCTTACTGTAGTTATTGCATTAAGCGCGACATACCGTGCTAGTCATAAATCCTTACTGTAGTTATTGCATTAAGCGCGACATACCGTGATAGTCATAAATCCTTACCGTAGTTACTGCGTTAAGCGCAACATACCGTACTAGTCGTAAATCGAGTAGTTATCGAATCAGGCACTACATGCTGTAATTGACTTGTCAGGCACGTCTCTCCGTAATTGTCCTCTGCAATTGTTGTTGATGGTTAATTTATACGTGACATTATGTTATTCATCTGTACCGTCATGTAAGTAAGATTGCGAGAGAAAAGACCGTTTGGGGTTCCATGTACATTATACAAGCATTTTATCATTATATCAAATATCATAAAAATGTTACTTTTTAACGTTAATATTCTATACGCTCTGGAGCATTGTACATTGTTGTTATCTGTCTGATGGACAATAAAGCCTTTTACACTATCATTGTCTTAGTCCTCATTATCATATTGTCGGCGAGGACCCACGACATGCAGGGTTTAGAGCGTTTGCTCTGACTACTGTTTACAGAAAATGCTTCCCACTAAATCACGGCCTGTGTTGTTCGTGAACACCCCGTTATATCAGTGGCAAGAGACGAGGTAATGCCAGCAGTTCAAGCTGATATTGTGCAGCTTCAGTAGAACAAACCAGACTGACAAAAGGTCTCACAGAAGTGGTTAAGAAGGTCAAATCCGGCAGTGTTCCACCACTCAGATGTTGGTAGACGTTTTGGGTACCACAGGGTTCTATTCTGAGTTTAGATTAGTTCAAACGAGTTCTGTTGGTAATTTGACTGGATTGTGAACCTTATGTGAACAGTGCTATTCCCTGGAATATAATTATACAGTCAGCCTGGAGACATTTGTTTCCATTTGACTATTCGCGGTTCTGATTTTGTTGACACATGTCATCGTATCCCAATTGCGTAGATCGATGCTCTTGATGTTCATCACTAGATTGTCTGGTCCAGATTTGATTATTTACAGACCGCCGCCGTATAGCTAAACTATTGCTGAGTGTGGCGTAAAACTAAACTCACTCGCTCACTTGAATATATGAAAGCAGTGATGTGACATGCGACCTGAGAATCACAAGGTAGCATGAATGTCGTGCATTGTCATACCACTGTAATCACTATCTGTCGGTCATGTACACACAATTGCAATAAATCATTACAGATAATTCCAGTTGTTCTAGTTACACCATACCTTCCTTATCGAGACAGTCCTGACTCCAGTTGTTCTAGTTACACCATACCTTCCTTATCGAGACAGGCCTGACTCCAGTTGTTCTAGTTACACCATACCTTCCTTATCGAGACAGGCCTGACTCCAGTTGTTCTAGTTACACCCTACCTTCCTTATCGAGACAGGCCTGACTCCAGTTGTTCTAGTTACACCATACCTTCCTTATCGAGACAGGCCTGACTCCAGTTGTTCTAGTTACACCCTACCTTCCTTATCGAGACAGGCCTGACTCCAGTTGTTCTAGTTACACCCTACCTTCCTTATCGAGACAGGCCTGACTCCAGTTGTTCTAGTTACACCCTACCTTCCTTATCGAGACAGGCCTGACTCCAGTTGTTCTAGTTACACCATACCTTCCTTATCGAGACAGGCCTGACTCCAGTTGTTCTAGTTACACCCTACCTTCCTTATCGAGACAGGCCTGACTCCAGTTGTTCTAGTTACACCATACCTTCCTTATCGAGACAGGCCTGACTCCAGTTGTTCTAGTT